TCCACCCTGCCCTTCCCCTCACCTGTGGGGCAGGACATGGCTCAGCCCCTCCTTACCTGCAGGCCAGCAGAACCTAGCCCAGCTTCACCAGTACTGGTCACCAGACCCCTCCCACAAGCAAGGACCCAGCCCACCACATCAGGCCCCAAGCATCAAAAGCTGGCCAACCCCCCCCAACCCGTCACTGGTGCCAGCATGACCTGGTCCTGACCCATCCCAGCCCACCCCACCCTTCTGTGGCACAACAGAAGCCAGCCCAGGCCCAGGTCCTCTCACCAGCACAGCCCCCTCCAGTGCTGTAGGGCCCATCCCGTCCTGAGCCACAGGGGGCTCAGCTGTAGTTTTCCCTCCCCAGTGCTGGCACAGCCGGCCCATCCCATCTCATCCCCTATCAAGCGGCATGGGACTGACACTAGCCCAGCCGCGGCTTTCCCAGGTGCTGCTGCACTTTCCCCCTACCTGCATCAGCTGGTCCCAAAAAGCAGAAGGCTCCACTGCTGCTTCTGCTGGCCTGTGCTGCCCCAGCCGGGCTCGCCCCATCCCCAGCGGCATGCGGGGAAGCCAGATTCAGCCGCATGCTGCTCTGGATGGGAAGGGCCCAGCTGGGTCAGCACCGGCCAGGAAAAGCAACATGCAGCCGAAGCCAGCTTCCCACGTGCTGCTGGGGACAGGAGGAGCCAGGCCCGGTTGGCACGGCCAGCAGAAGTGGCAGTTGAGCCGTGTGCTGCTTGGAACCGGCCCAGGAGCAGCTGTCTCTCCCTGGTGCCAGCCTGGCCTAGCTCAAACTGCACAAGAGAAAGCCGTGGCTTCCCCTTACCTCAGCCAGCACCCCAGCCGGTCCCAAGCGGTACACAGCTCAGCCACCACCTCTTCTCCCTGGTGCTGACCAGGTCAGAGCTGCATGTGGCACAGCCAGCCCAGCTGCTGCTTCCCCTTCCCAGTGCTGACCCAGCACAGCCCAAGTAGCACAACACGGGGAAAGCCTGCCCAGCAGCAGCTTTCCTGGGCTGACCTGCAGGGCAGGGTCCTTTCTAGTCCCGTGCAGGAGGCAGAAGCTGGCCCACACTCTCCTTCCCCTCACCCGAGCCACAGGTTCTGGCCCAGCCCCACCCCAGCTACAAAGTGTCCTGAGCCAGGGGCAAGGTGAGGCCAGCTGGGTCAGGCTGAGGTCAGGGTTGGTTGCCTCAAAACCAAAACCCAAGTAAATAGCCTGAGGTCCTGCAGCTGGTGTCACTGGAGGCTTTTAGACAGGCAGCTGCCATTACTAGGTTTTGAAGGGGCTCCGCGGGCTGGACAGAAGCTCTTGGCGGGCCGTATTTTGCCCACTCCTGCTGTACAGTCACCTCGCTGGGGTCACTTGACCCCTGTTGTCTTTTCCTGCCTAGCGTGGAGGGCTGGACCCGATGATCTACAAGGTCCCTTCAACCCCCTAACAATCTTATTCTTCACAGTTCGAGTGGCCAAGGTCTGGAATGGGCTCCCAAGGGAGGTGGTGCTCTCCCCTACCCTGGGGGTCTTTAAGAGGAGGTTGGATATGCATCTAGCTGGGGTCATCTAGACCCAGCCCTCTTTCCTGCCTATGCAGGGGGTCGGACTCGATGATCTACTGAGGTCCCTTCAGACCCTAACATCTATGAATCTATGAATCCATGAATTGCACATTTAACTGAACATCTGCCAGGGGCCTCAAATTGAAACCAACTATTCAGATGAATGTGGAGAGCAGAGATACTGACATCTGTCATGCAACAAAAACAGCTCCCTCAGCAGTTATTGTAACGTATCAAAATCACTGCAAAAACTATGCTACCTCATCTGCACACTCTCAGATGCTCGGAGTTTCTGAAATCTCAGCCTTCTCTGAAACTCTTAATGCTGGAAACATATGGTCATTGCAAGCCCTAATAAAACAGCACAGCCTGACAGAAGCATTTCAACATTTCCAATTTCAAATTGTTCAATTAATCAGAATATGTTGATGTTTGCAAATATAGTGCCTGCTATGAGCTTGTCAACTTTGTATGTGTTCTAGTCAAAAAAGGGATCCTGGAGCTTTTTCATGAAGTTGAACAAATTATGAAACGCATTAACTGTGTAAAAAAAAAATCAAGCTATTTAAAAAACAAAACAACACAACACACTAGTACAAAATAGTAACTGCAGCAATTAAAGACAAAAGTTTTTAACAGTAATGATTTAATCCACGCTACTGTACTATACCACAGAGCACTGCACCATCTTGTTCCTTCCGGGCTGCTCTTGATAGTGGTTAGTATTGGTTTCTGTAAAATATTGCTCTTTTTCATCCACCATTTGTCAAAATCACTACAACAAATTACTGTGTAATAAATACTGACAAAAGCCATCAGAATTTAAATACATGTCATGTATCTCACTGAGCTGGCATTTAGGATTAATTCATTGAGACCAGGGGTGCTCAACCCCCAGCCCAAAGCGCTGTCATCCAGCCCACAGGGCTCCCCATGGATGCAGAAGTTTGGTGGCAGGGGGAGCAAGGCCAAACATCCAGACCCATGGGGAGCCCTTGGCCCTGCACGCTAGATTGGGTACCTGATCCCAGCCTGCAGAGATTAGGCAAGAGACCCAGGGACCAAGCCCCAGGGACCCAATCCCAGCAGGTACAGCACTGGGATCCTGGGGTCCAAATTTAGCATGTGGGGCAGGAAGGGGGTGGCACTGGGCCCCATCCCGGCACACAGGGCAGGGAGGGGGTGACATCAAGCCCCAGAGCCTGATTTTGGTGTTTAGGGCTCGATCTGTTCCACAGACCAGCCCTGGGTCACTCATCTGGCCCACAGGGCCAACAAGTTGAGCACCACTGATATAGACCAACTTGCTTATACTATGAAACAGAGGACTTTTGTTCCAAGGCCTTACTTCAAAAGCTCACTAAAAGATTGAACATCACACTGGCTACTTGAGTGCCCAAGTAACACAGCTGTTAGCCGCTCTGTGTTTCAAGGGATGATTTGATTTACTCATGGCCCATGTCTTTTGACAATCTATTCTCAAAAGTTCAGGCAAGAATTTGTTTTTGTACAAACACATAATGCAGAGTCAAGTGGCTCTGCTGTATGTGACCCAGACCTTCAACCAAAACAAGAAACAAAATAGTCCACTCTAGCAGCAGTTCCCTGCTACCTGTTGAGAGTCAGCGGACCTCAGATTATTTGAAAGTATCTTTATTTAGGTTCCTCTGGGAACAAGGGCTGTCTGCTTTTTTAAATGCTGTTCCTATAAGTGGTCACAATACACTGACTCAAAGATCTTTCTAGTCTGGGTTTCATTTCTTGGATTTCTAAGCATGACATAGGTCCAAGTCTGACAGTTCTGGGTTCTCCAGGTATTTCTAAGGGGAAAAGTGTTGGAGCTTGGCTGAAACTTGGTTGGAGCTTCTTTTGTTAGAAAACAGCAAGTGTGAAAGTAAGAGTGCCCATCAGCAATATGTGCCAAGCTTGGGTACAGCTGGAGAAAGAGCTAATAAGAAATCCTCTAAGTGCCAAATTCAGCTTAAGAATGACAATTTGAGGGCTACAAAAGTCTTTGGCTGTTTATGTTTGTAAAGGAAGGGCAAAGCATAACTGGGACAATTAAAGGGCCTATGTCCTAGAGGGAACTTGCAATCACTGGAGAAATTCTGCAAGTGAAGCTTTCTTCTGGACACTGTCTGAAGATCTACAAAAAAAAGTGATATATACCTGTTGATTCACTACTGCAGTCACTACAGTGAAGGGGCTCTCTGCAGTTGGTGGATATTGTAGCTGAGACAGATGCCAGAAGAGCAGAATGAGAAAGTGGCAGGTGGCATGGTTTGCTGAACTCCTGCCCAACCTCTAGAAGATGGTGGTTTCTTCCAGGGAGTTACTGCAGAGGATGCAGGAGCAGTGTCTCCACCATGCCAACTGACAACTGTATCATGAACTGGAGGGAGCAGGGACCAATAACAGAGATAGCACTGATAGGGCTCTGAAAGCACCATTTTCCCCCAGCAAATCCTCAGGAGGCGGCACTCTGGCCTGAGTTTCACTGCTGGGTAACGAGTATCTATCAATACAAGGTAGAAAGAAGGCAATGGAACAGACAGTTCCTAGCTTTTGTTTTTGTTTCAGGTCTCTCTACCCTGCTAGGAATTTGGTCAAGGTGGGACTGCTGTGGAGATGGAAGCAAGACCGTCACAGATGGCTTTAATTTGGGAAGCCAAATAAATAACTTGGAGCCAAATGAACAAGCTTTAAATTCTTGTGCTCTGATGAAAAATACAGCATGAGCTCCAAGAGTCATAAGCTGCAGCTGTCAGATACAGATGGAAACTTAAACTAAATCAAGCCATAATTGACAGGCCTATGCCGGCTTCCTGTGCTGCCAGGAAAGGGAAAGTCTGGAGGTGCAGTAAGCTACAATAAGTAAAGAGCAGACAGACAGTACAAAAACTTTGCCATGACCCCTCGGCCCTTGAAAAATAAACCTGAATAAATATTCAGACACAGAGCAGGCAATGGGGGTATTAAATCCTGTAATGCACATTACTCCCTTCTGTAACAAGAAATAGAATGATCCTGCTCCCAGTACACAGACTGGCATACAGAAAGCTGGTCACACTGAGTTAGCAACTCCAGGATGGAGCTCAAGTTTATCTGATTCTAGGCAAGAATTATGGCTTCTACAAAGAAATGTCACCATGGGACAATTTGCCATCACTAGCAGCTACAAGTATAACTACACAAACTTTAAACACGGAAAAAAATACTCCAGAGATGAACTAGAAATGAGAGAGTCCAGCAAAGATATAATCAAGAAAGTAGGATTAAGATGATCAATATTTAGGAATTGGAACAAAACCCATCTGTCACTGCTGTGCAAGCATTTAGGACAAACATCAATGAAATCCAATAGAGGTTAAGACTCTTCTTCCTCCTCAGAAAAGAAGCAAATTTAAAGTAGTCAAAGAGACATACCACCCTCTTTCCCCAAGTACTTACATATATTGCTCCTAAATGAGTCCTGTCAGTATCGAAGAGCTGATAGTAATGTTGTACAAAGCTGGATCCAATCTGCTCCCAAATAGGCTTGTCTCCCATTCTGAATCTTCAGCCAGAGCCAGCAACTGTAAAAAAATCAGGAGGGAGAACAGTGACATCCAGGAGCAGCTAAATGCTGTTTAATGTGTAAACAACAATATAAACTGAGACTTGAAGCCTTCCAGTTTCCAGCCAATCAAGAACAAAACCCCACTCTCCAGGCTTTTAAACAGTGGAACTGCAAAGAACTGTGCTGCTGCAATATAGCAACTGTAGCGCAGTGTGTTTGCAGATGTCAGACATTTGCATTTAGACAGCTCCTACCTTCCTTGGCATGCTGGCAAAGGAGAATGGACCTTTTGATGGTACCAATAATGTAGCACCTACCAACTGGCAACAGCCACTATACAGCAGTCTCTGGAGGGTTCTCCAAACAGCTCTCTCAGTAACTCCAAACCAGTAAACCCAGTCATCTTAAACTGTTTTGTACATTAATCTCACTGCTGTGTCAGCATCTGCCATTTCCTGTATAGCAACTGAATTTCGGTATGCTTTTTGTGAAAGCATGACATAGAACAGTCCATATTCAATCAGAACAAACAACAGAACTGGGAGAAGAGGGGCCTGGGGGTGGAGAAATAGTCCATACAGGCTAGCTATTCAAAAGTAGGAGGGGAAATCTGAAGTAACAATCAAAACGGAAGCACCATTTGAGGATGCAAGTGGATGATAATCACTATCCTACTGTAAGTGGTCTCAGAACGCAGATCAAATGGTACCCTACCACAAGAACTGATGCTGCCTGAGAAACCCTACTTGTAAAGTAGGTACTGAAGGCACTGGCTGACGTCACTGCACAGCCACTGGCGGTAATATTTGAACACTTCTGGCGCACGGGCCAGGTCCCGGAGGACTGGAAAAGGGCCAATGTGGTCCCTAATTTTAAGAAGGGGAGAAAGGAGGATCCAGGCAACTATAGGCCAGTCAGTCTCATCCCCATCCTTGGCAAAGTTTTTGAAAAAATTATCAAGGCTCACATTTGCGAGAGCCCGGCAGGACAAATTATGCTGAGGGGAAACCAGCACAGGTTCGTAGCAGGTAGATCATGCCTGACTAATCTAGTCTCTTTTTATGACCAGGTTACAAAATGCCTGGACGCAGGAGTAGGGGTTGATGTTGTATACTTAGACTTCAGGAAGGCCTTCGATAC